GCACCATGGCCTGAAGGCACCGCTAATACACTGATGACTGATGGCCGGCCCAGGCAGACAATGAATTTGGGGCTTGAAAACTAACAGAAACCATGCAGCACTTTGACAAATGGGCTTTCACAATTTCATTCATTGAATAACCTTTAAGCACAAAATTGGCTCGAGTTCTCCTGGGAATTATGTGACAGGTCGTTGGACGATGATGTAAGTATTTTCTTTTTTAATTATGACTTGTATGCAAAATGCAAAAGCACCCTAATATGAGGACACAACCCTAAATGCTGCAGATGCATGTGTGGAGCTCCACACAATATTGCCTTTCAGGAGGGGGGCTGGAATGTTCCAATGCCACCTTATTAACTAGGTAATGGCCTGTTCATTCAGTTTCTTTAGAGAGCCATAGATTTTCTGGGACATTTTGTCGGATTGAAATATACACACACGGAACAAAAAACACTTTCACAGTAAAAAAAAAAAAAAAACAACCTGAAAGTGGTCATGAGTAGCTAAGTGTGGCACTAAAACATAGTGCATTAGAATTACAAGTAGAAAAAGTCTAATTTTAAGGGGTGAGGCAAAGGAAAAGTGCCTTGAAACAATTGAGACACCACATAAAGTTTGCAGTCGAATACACTTGCCAACACAGTTAACATTGGATTTTTTTCCAACGGCTTCCCTCCCTTTCTTTCCCTGTAAAACTAGCCCTTCGATGGAAAAATCATAATTTTGGCAATTGCGAAAGAGAGCATGAAATACCTAGTGTCTCTAAATTAACAAGTACCACTTACTCCAGGCAGCATTGCCTTTAACAGCTTCTAAAAACTTAAGAAAAGGATCTTAAAACAGGAAGATTAGTGAGCTCATAAAACTGTTGTTGGAGCCAGGAACACATAGCATATTTAATCTGCAAACTGTGAGAGTCTACAGTGATTTCAGCAAGATCTGAGGCATGCCCTCAAGGTTTGCTGGGATCTGGGATTAGGGGGTTGATAAGAACCTCTACTGCCCATGGACATGTTTTTCTTCTGCAGTTAAACACAAATGCACAGAGACATTTGACTGCTGCTTGGCGTTACTGCTCAAGTTATAAAAAAGCTTTGCAGCTCCTTTTGCTGTCAATATATCAAAGTTTAAAAAAAAATCATCAAAGTGTGAAATTTCATTTAAAGTCTTCGCCAGTCTACAGCTCTATTTCACAGGCCCATCAAATAAAAGTAGAGATGAAAAATACGCTGAAAGTACTTGAAAAAAGTTTGTGGCATTCCCCCTGCCCTGTTGTTGTTTACTCTGTCTCCCTTTATTTGCTTTGAAACTAGAACAAATCAATTTTCATCTGGAAAAATGACAACAGGAAGTGAAGGGCAGCATCTTCTAGTAGCCTTTCATGAAAAGACAACCTGAAGTCATTATTAGAGTAGAATCTTATACTTACCAAATGAAATACACACACACACACAATTTCTTCTACAGTCATGTCAGCATTTTAATTGACTCTCATGATATAAGTTGGCAGAAAATTTCTTGAATCTTCCAAAACAGATCAGACTGACTACAGAATACGGATGCCAGCAAAACTAAAACCTCCTTCAAAGAATTTTTTTAGCTGGGGATTTACAACAATTGCATAAAGAAGAAAAGGCTGACTTTTAAGATAATCTACTATAGTCTAAAAGCATTAACATTCCATTACTAAGGTTTTCTTGAGGATTTCATGACTCACTGATCCACTTTTCCTTCAAGACTGGTTTTTCTTAGTACACTACTGTCTCCATATAAGTGAGTGCATGGAACAATGATCATTAAATTGTTTCCTTTCATAAATTCCCAAACCTTATTCTCCTAAAAAGGGGGCAAGGATAAACAGGACAGCTCACATAGATGGAAGGACCCCTAAATGGCGAAGCACAGAGGAAGTCTGAAATCCTTACAGCATGCAGGTAATTAAGAAAACTGGCCAAGAAACAAAGGAAAGTTCAACTTTTAGGCTAGGGCATCAAACTGATAAATTAATGACTTTCATTAAATAAGTAATGAAATAATTCACCAGAGTCATTTTTTATCAGTACTGAATTTTCTCATTTCTGTCTGTAGTCCTTTGCAAATTCAACATACTGGAAAAGTGTATTTATGGAAAAGTGTATTTATGTCATGGTCCGATCAAGGAATCCAAACATGTTAATGGTACCGAGAATTGGTAAGTATCTGAGTTGAACCTACTAGCCTATTCATACAATATAGTCTATACCTTTTAAAGTGCTTCTCTGTGTGTGAAATTTCACTAGACACCTCTCACATTGGACTCATTCAGGCATCTGAAACCAAAGCTTTCCTAGGCTGACTTTAAGAATTATACACCCTGAAAGGCTCTCCCCTTAGGCAGGCAGTTTCTGATTAAATAGCTTTTAGTGTAAAATAAACCTCTTCTCTCTATAAGTATGCTATTACAACTAATTTAAATGTTAGTTCATGTTTGTTTTAGGTCTGACTACAGGCCAACTGGCCAAAGTGTTTGTGTACCAGGTTAAGACCAATATTTCCTAACATAAACAAATTCTTTAGATACTTCACACAGTTTACATTGTTAAGGCCAATCACCGCTACTTCAATATAGCCCCTCAAATGAAATGCTGTTCTGCTTTAGAAAGATAGAGCGATTTTGAGGTTATTTCACTACTTTGAAACATAGCATTTTCCTCCTTCAAAATAATCTTGACACATGTAATTAAGAAACTGTCAGACTATTATTAATTTTTAATTTAAAACCTAAATGAAATAATTACAGGAATCAATCAATAAGGCACCTATTCAAATTACAGAGCAATTACATAAATACTCAAAATTAATACTTTAGGCCAAAATTAATACTTTAAGCCAATCCTTAAGATTTCTCTCTATAATATGCTAAGACACCAAACAACACAAAAAGTGTAACATGGGGACCATGAATAGTTCCTGCCTTAAATAGAAATGGCCATGGCAGAGGGCTCCACCAGCTATGCCCAAGGCACTCAAGCTGGAACTCTTTTTCAAAGTTCATTTATTTCCACCAGACGCATATTTCAGGGATATCAAAAATCTCCCAATTCTGTCCAAAATCATATTGGGAGGCAAAAGCTTAATTACTGCGAACTTCCAGCAAAGGGCTCTGGGGAGGAAAAGGGAGAAAGATAAAGGAGCGAAGAAAGGTGTTTTCTAGAACCAGTCTGGCTAATGCCACTGGCCAGGTCTCTGCACAGCGACCGACCCTCCATACCTCCTACTAACGGGGCTCTTTTACTTGGAGATGCGGACGGTCCATCATTTCAAACTGAAATGGCAGCTGGAAAATGTGGAACAGCTGGCAGAGAGCTGGGAGAAAATGTTTTACATAAATATATGTACATATAAACTGGCAGAGGGCCACGAGCGCTGTACCCAAGGCCAGAATCGACTCGGGACTGCACACCACGGAGATGAGACCCCGGGGCGGGCGGGAGGAGCCGCCCGGAGGATGCCTCCCGCACAGTCTGTTTACACGAGGTCAGCCAGGGAAGCGTGGGTCCAGCCGCTCTCCGGACGGCATCTCCTGAAGGAGGTGCCATCGCCGACTCAAGCACAAAGTTCAGAGGAGGATAAAAGGCCTGGCTGTGCGGTGGTGCTTCGGCATCTGGCAATCTGCTTAGAAGTCACTTCACAAACTCCCTAAGTTTGGGGTAAATATTTACTCCTTCTCCACCTCCTCCCGCCCATGTGCCCTCTGCAACTCCAGAAAGTAACTGTCCCCTGCAGAGTGATTCATACCCAACTCTGCTCGCTGAAAATGCGACCTCTTAAATGATCATTGCAGGCGCCACGGTTACCCATAGCACCACCATCACGACCACACCACCACCCCCGCACCACTCACTCCCTGCAGCTTCTAATGCTTTTATTTCTTTTGTTGTCTTTTCCCTTACTTTCTTTTTTTTTTTTTTAAGGCTGTCTCTGGAAAGGAAAAGAAATGAAAGATTCCCAAATCATCCACAGATGGTACAACTTTCACTTTTCCTCTCTTAGGACGGAGGCGCGCCTCTTTCTCCCGGCTCACACCCCACCCCCGATGGGAAGCGCAGGCTGGAGGAAGCCCCCGCCGCGGCGATCCTCGCGCGCACCCACCTCACCGCCCGCCGCCTTCCGCGCCCGGCCCCCCAGAGGCATGCAACAGTGCGAAGGCGGGCGCCCGAGCCCCGGGGGCTAGCGGAGCTCCTTTCGGCCCTCGGGAAAGGGAGTCGGGGCGAGAGGTGCAGTCGCCGCGACTGCTCCAAACTTCGTCCCCAGACCTCCCAACTCCAGGAGGTGAAATTCTCCAGCCCGTCTCCGGATGGCCGCCAGGTCAGACGCTGCGAAGGGGAGCATCACGCAGGAGGGGGCGAAGGGAAGGCTGGTTCCGACGCCTTACCGGCGGCTCCCAAAATCTGGGCGCCTTTTGACAGCCATTTTCAGTTCCTCCCGCGCCCCCCGTCGGGGACTCCCCTCTCGACCCAGAGGCGCGGGCGCGGCCGCAGGAGCTGGCTCCCCGGTGCGGGGCCCCGCGAAACAAAGAACTTCGGGCGGGACGTACCTGCGGCGGCGGCGGCTGTCAAGTCCCCGAACTTCCCATAGACCCGCGTCCCGGGCGCGGGCTGGCGGCTCCGGGTTCCGCGCGGCCGCGGGCCGCTCGGGCTAAGGCAAGAGGCCGGGTGCGCCGGCGGCGGTGGCGGTGGCGGTGGCGTTGCCCCTGCCCGCTCCCGCCCGCTCGTGCGACTCCGGCATCGGTTTCAGGGATCGTGTAATCCGATCCCTTCTGACTCACAGGCCCTGAGTGACAGTTCTGATTTGGTTCACCCGCGGGAGGGAGGGGAAAGAGAAAGAAAGAAAGCCCCCAGAGCGCTCCCCTCCTCACATGCAACCGACTTTCTGGAAGAAGGTCCCATCCCGGCCTGGAAACCCGCGCGGGCTTGGAGGCTCCCCCAGTCCCTACCCGCGCAGCCTGCGCTACTCACGGGTGGAAAAGTTGTCCCTCGGCTCTGCTCTGCCCTCCCTCGCTCTCCCTCCTTCCCTCCTCTCCTCCTCTTCCTCCTCCTCCCCGCGCTCCTCCTCCCCCAAGTTTTAACAGATGTTGCCGGACTCTCGGCTCGCGCTCGCGCTCCCTCTTCCTCCGCCCCCGCCCCCGCCCCGTCCCTTTTCTTTCTGCCACTCTCCGGCGGCGCGGTGGGGACGCGCCGAGCAGCAGGACGCCTGCCACCGCAGGGGGCGAAGTTGGGAAAACTTGGGAGGAGTGCGGCTCGCCTTACTTTTGCTTTCTCGCTCCTTCCTGGCCGCGCCGGGGGCCCGCGCTTCCCCACCCGCCGGGTCCCTGCTCCCGCGGCGGGTCCCAGCGGCGACGCGGGCGGCGGCGCGGAGGCGGCCCGGGCAGGGGTCGGGGGCTGCGGGGGGAGCCCGGGCGCCCCGAGCCACGCGCGCGCTCCCCTCCCCGCCCTCCGCCTCCTCCGCCCCTCCCCGATCCTCTCACAGACACATTCAAGCCTGCTCCTCCTCTTCCCCCTCCTTGACCCCGCGCCCGCTCCGCGCGCCGAGGCCCCACCCACCCGGCTAGGGGAAGGGGGCCCTGGCGTGATGTCACCGCCGCCCTCCCCGCCCGCGCTCGCCCCGCCGCCCCCCACCCCAGCGCCCTGCGCACCCGGGCAGCTAGTCCCAGCTCCCGTCGCCTTCCGCCCCGCCTCTCCGCTCCGCTTTCTCCCGGCTCCCAGTTTGGGCTCCCTTTTTTCTTCTTTTAAGGCCTCTCTGATCACAGCCACCCCCCTTCCCTCCTAGATTCTCCCTCTTCTTGTACATTTCCCCAGGCCAACCCTGAAACTCCCCCTCTCGCCTGAGGATGCTTTTGAAAGTTCAGATTTTTCCTCCCCACCGACTTCTCTGCCCTCGGAGCCAAATCTGGGAAGTGGGAGCTCCCCACTACGCAGCCTGCTATTCCCATGGGTTACTTTAGTAGGGACACAAAAACAAAGACCCCAGGCTTGGAGCCTGGACTCCAACGTGGTTTTCCCTGAGCTACCAGAGTGTCTCTGTCCCTGTTTGATTTTCAGCGGCCCGTACCAGAAAAAAATTATTTCCCTCCCTTCTCAGCCAGCCAGCCTGCATCCATCTGTTCCCTTCCAGCCTGGACCTGTAACCCAAACAAGGAGTTCCCAAGGGAGGAACAACGAAAGGAAAAGAAAACTCTGGTGGCATGCCCGAATCCATTCTTCCTGGGGTCATCTGAGATTCCGCCCACCCTCCGGTGGCCTCCCGCAGCGCCTCGGAGCTCAGGGTGCACTAGTGTTGACTCCTAGAGCGTCTTGACTGAAGGAAAAGCGTAGGTGGATGAATGATTAGCTATTATGATCTGAAGAGCATTTTGAGATTCAAATGCTTAGCTGGAGAATTTTTTAAGGGAATTAATGGTGGTGTTCACTATTTGTTTCCTGGGACTTGTTGCTTATCTCAAAGATATCACAAAAGCAGACCCTGACTTAAGCTTTTATGGTAGAAGCAGTGGAGATAAAGGAGGACTGGAGGTCCTTATGAGCCATTTATTTTACAGTTTCTCTCTGTACTTCACGTGTTTGGGGGGAAAAAAAATCTGACTCATACAGAGCCGTACGTAGCCTTAGGATTCAAGGGTGGTGGTCCCAGCTTCCCCTTACTAACTGGCCTTAGGCCCAGGAGGATTCTCTGAGCATCCACAGGCTCTGGGCTCATCTGCAGAATGGTGATAGGAAAACCAGGCCAGTCCGCATACCTCCCAGGATTTGTAAGGGCTTCCAAAGAGATAATACATGTGAAAGTGGAAATGGATACAAATGCCTAAGAATTATATTATGCTCTTTCCCACATATACTTCAGCATCCGTCACAATATTTTTTTGTATTCAAGTACTGCTTCTGTCTCAATCACATGAATGCAAATAATACATCCTGATAGCCTCCTCTGTTCACCCAATGGCAAAAAAAAAATAATAACTAAAAAGAACGACAGCCAATAAATCAACAACTGGAATAAACTAGATATTGTGACTCACTTAAAAGTCTAGCACATTTTGGATCTGAAGATCTTGATTCTCCATTTTAAAAAGATGAGAACAAAGGAAAAGCAGCTCATCGTTCTCCTTATGCCCATCAGAATAGTTAAAAACAAGAGGAGAAATAAAGCTGGTGTCTCCTGTGTGTCCCTGTGTCCTCACCTTAGGTTCTTGGCAGAAATGAAGAGTTTTCTGCTTTAGTGATAAACACAGATGTGAGTGGGAACATTTTGCAGAAATAGTAGAAGAAATATAGAACAAGGGTTACCCTCATGTGAGTTAAATAATGCCATAACACAATGACTTTCAGCCTATATTAACAGAAAAACTCTTTATCCAAAGGAAATCTTGTGTGGAATCCCTGCATATAAAGGAAAGCTATCTCTAGTTGCTGTTGGGTGGGGTCTCAAAGCCCAGCCCCTTAGCCTTTCTTTTGTCACTCACTCCCTTTTTTTAAGAGCCCTGAGACATCTCTAACAACCTTAAAGTCACCCTGAAACTCAATAATGTAATCTCCTTGTAATGGTAAACAGGCACTTACAGATTTACAAGGTTCTAAGGTCACCCTTCTTATAGACAGAGTCCCCTCAGTTCCCTTTTCAGATGCAAAAAGTCCTAGACATTTTAACATAGTGTGTCCTCAAAATACTTAAGCTTATAAGACAGTTCTTGTTGGTTTGTTTGCTTGTCTTTTGGCAGCAAATTGGATGAAGTAGGAGACTCGAAGATATTCGTATGAGTCTTCTAGGGCTGCCATAACGAAGGACCACAAACTGGGTGGCTTAAAGCATCAAATGTCCATTGTCTCTGGAGAGGGAAATGGCAACCCACTTCAGAGAAATCCCATGGATAGAGGAACTTGGCAGGCTACAAGCGGTCCATGGGGTCGCAGAAGAGCCAGATACAACTTAGAACCTAAGCAACATCCATTGTCTTACAGTTCTAGAGGCTAGAAGTCCAAAGTCAATGTCTCAGCAAGGCCATGCTCCCTCTGAAACCTCTAGGGGAAGATCTTTCCTTGCATCTTCCTAGTTTCTGGTGGTTATCTGTCAACCCATGGTGTTTCTTGCTTTGCCACTGCTTCACTCTAACGTCTGACTCTATAGTCATATAGCATCCTCTCTTTGTTTTTTTTTTTTTTTTCTCTCTCTCCCTCTCCTCTTCCTAAGGGCACCAGTCATAGAAGGGAGCAACAGAGGATGAGATGGTTAGATGGCATCATCAACTCAATGGACATGAATTTGAGCAAACTCCAGGAGATGGTGAAGGACAGGGAAGCCCAGCATGCTGCAGTCCATGGGGTCACAAAGAATCGGACACGACTTAGCGACTGAACAACAACTCCAATATGACCTCATCTAAACTGAGTACATCAGCAACAACCCCGTTTCCAAATCAGATCACATTCTGAGACTCCAGGAGTTAGAGCTATAATATATCTTTTGGAGGGGGGGGGAGTGGGGGACACAATTCAATTCATGAAAATACTGAAAACAACAAAGCAGGATAAAGGATCTGCAACTGACAGGACAAAGAATGAAACTGAGAACGAACTTTGCATGCTCCTCTGGTTTTTCTGTTGTTGTTTTTTGTTTTGTTTTGTTTTGCTGCGGTGGGTTTTCGTTGCTGTGTGTGGACTTTCTTAGTTGCAGACCATGGGCTTCTCATTGCAGTGACCTCCTGTTGCAGAGCACTGGCTCAGTGGCTGCGGCCCTCAGGCTTAGTTGCCCGGCAGCAGGTGCCCCCGGACCAGGGATCGAACCCAGGTCCCCTGCATTGGCAGGCGGATTCCTAACCACTGAGCCACCAAGGAAGTCTCCTCTGTATTTTTTTGCCCTGTCACGTGTGCTTATCTTTAATGACTGTGCTTGCTCTCACTGCTACAGCTCTTCCATCTCTCTTCACGGTAAACCCCCAATTAATTATTGGGAAATTCCAAGTACAAGTTCATATGCACTGATAAGCTCCCAGCTGCACGTGACAAAATTCCAACTCAAATTGGCTTAAGTTAAAGGGGAGGTGGGTGTTTTGTTGACTGAAAAGTCCAGTAGTATGTAGGTGGAGTTCAAGTAAGGCAGGACTTAGAGGCACAAACAATGTCAGCTGGGTCCTATTTTCCATCTTTCAGCTAGGCTTTACGCACGTTTCATGATACAGGATTTTGTTTTTTGGGGTTTTTTAGGCTACCAAAGGCAGTGGCCAGAGGCAGTTGCATGCCAGATAAACAGCACAAGTCCTCTATAAAGCCCAACATGATAGCCTCCATATTCTTCCTCCTTTCCTGTATATGTGAGACTGTCACCTTTCACCCTGCTCGTCTTCTGTATATGCAGGACTCTCACCTCTGCTTCAGTTGCCCAATGTAGGGCTCCCTACTGGGAGATGATGCTTTCAGGACACCATCTTCTGGGGCATCCTCAGTACTCTTGAAGTCAGTACATCCCATATCTGTGTGAGGAGAAGGATTTTTCTTGGTCTTTAAAGTTGTACTTGATCACAAGGCTCTTTATATTTTGTCCTCATATATGAATATCCTGGACTTCCTTGGTGGCTCAGTAGTAGAGAATTTGCCTGCCCTGGGAAGATCCCCTGCAGAAGGAAGTGGCAACCTACTCAAGTATTTTTGCCTGAGAAATTCCATGGACAGAGGAGGCTGGCGGGCTACAGTCCATGGGGTTGCAAAAGAGCCGGATACAACTTAGTCACTGAACAACAACAACGTGAAGATCCTACCAATTTCCTTTTCTGAAAATAGCTCAAGGATTCATACCTTTTTCATCCCCAGACTCAAGATAATAGATTCTCATAATGAAGTGCAACCCTTTGCCTCCATATCCTCATGTGCATGCATTCACCCATATATCCATCCATCCATCCATCCATCCATCCATCTACCTACCCACCTACCGACTCATTCACCAGTGTTGGTTTACTGTTGTCCCAAGCCTATCTGCCACATACCGTCTACACTTATGGTGAGTTATTTCCCAGGAGGCTTCTCAGTCTAGCATGCAAATAGACTCCTTGCAGACAACATAACCCATCCATCCAACATTTCCAAATGTTTCTGAATTCAGTAGAGAACACAGCCTAACGCTCAAACTAGGATCTTTAACATCTGTCTGTCTTTCAGATGTTTGTAGGTGCCAGTTAAGGATTCTCACCACTTTGAAAAATGGTGGGAATGGAAATACTATACGGGCTGCATTTGAGAACCAGACTGCAAAGACAGTAAGTGTTTTTCTATCCAACCATGGTCTCCTCAGCTGACCTACCATGCCCCACCCCCGCACACACACACTCCAAGTGGAAGCAGATGGAAAAGGCAGACCTCCCTCCCAACTAGGAAGCTCTGACTTGGGCAATCTCATGTGAGTTTGAGGAGAGGGGAAACTTGGCCCCTGGAAGGAGGCAAAGAGATAGAGCAAGAATCAGAGTTTTCGATCCCAAGGTCACCCAACTCATCATTCTCTCTCCCTCCCCTTTCCTCCTCTGTCACCTAGTTTCCTAAAGTGCTCTCCTCTGGGTTCTCCCTCAGGGCCATGACAGCCGATTCCTAGACTGAACAGATTTGATGGCCTAAGGACAACTTTGACCCCTTTGGGTTTCCTGCTGCCTCCTTGAATTTTCTGGACATCATGTTTCTGCATGCCCTGCACCTACCAGTGTGTGTGTGTTGGGTGGGGGGAAGTACTGAGGGTCTAGGCAGACCCACCAGCCACACTCATGTCCCGGGAGAGCCCCGGGAAGGAAACCCTCCCCGAGTTGGCCCAGAGTGGACAGCCCGAGCTTCCCCACGCTGACTGGCCACTTGCCAAGAGGGAGAATGTTGTAAAGTGCATCACACAGGTGCCCTCTGGAGGGTCTCTCACTCAGCACCCGCATAACTTATTCTTGCTTCTTCTTGGAACATTGGGATTATAAATGTAACCCAGATGTGGGCTGCGTCCCTCTTCACCTTGGAGATGTTGCTATAATTGGCTTGGACCTCAGCCAATACCACAAGTTGGAAAGACCTAAAGCCCTCCATTTGGATCTCAACAAGTTCAGAGACCCCCTGTGGATGCTGCCTGACACCACCCTTTACTCCATCCTCAAACCCCTGCCCGATCCACAGGAAACCACCCACAGCAGGCAAGGGGTGAGATTGTAGATTTCACTGATGCTTTGGGTAGCTCAGTGGTGAGTTTTTCTCCCTCCTTCTCTTTCAAAAATAAAACAAGTTTTTCTCTGCCTCAAACAGAGCAGTTTAGCAACCAGCATCTGTTTCTTGAAGTCTCACCTTCCTTTCCTAGGAGCATATTCACGTGATACCCTGATTTCACTTGCCTTTTCCATTTCTTTGCCCAGGATCTGCCCTGCTACACTTTGTCTTCAGCTCCAATCTACCTGGCAGCAAAGCTCAGGACTTTTTATTTTTTTTTCAGCTGCACCAAGCCATATGTGGACTCAGTTCCTCAACCAGGAATTGAACCCACACCCTCTGCATTAGAAGCTCAGAGTCTTAACCACTGGACCATCAGGAAAGTCCTGCCCAGCACTTTTTGAGTTTCCATAAAGTTAAGGGAACAAGCAGTGGCCCATGGGACACATTGTCTGTCAACATCTATTATTTACTGTGCATGAGTACATTTTGTCCTGGACTCTTCATTTTGCCACAGCCCCCACACCTCCCCCATTGCCTTATAAACTTGCAGCTACACACGTTTGCATCATCTGTCTCATTCCTGAAAACATTTTGAATTTGCTGCTTTCTGCCCTTAAATAATTCACTGACACAAATTGTGGGTTTTACTGAATCTTTTTATAAACAGGCTGCAAAGGAGGGGCTGCAACATCAAACATATCATAGAAAATACCTCCAACATTTTCCTCTAAACTTTCTGTCCTTCATTTGTCTCTGACTGTACCCCTACTATATTATTTTATCTTCTCCTGTTCAGTGCCCAGTCCCACCAATTTCCCTTTTCTTAGAACAATCCACTTCTGCACTTCTAAGTGTGGTGTCCTGAGAGATTCCAGGATCCATCTCTCTTAGAAAGTGGTTTAAGACATCCATACAGCTCAGGAGCTCATCTTACCATTATAGTCTTTCACCCTAATCTTTTACATACACATCCAGCAACTTGTCAGTGTATTTTCCTCCAAACAAGTATGAGAAGTTCTATGAGGAGGAGTTTTGGTGAAAAACAGTTTCTGTATTTGCTCCATAAGAAACTAAGAAAATCAAGACCACACACCTGGGAATGTAATAAAGAATTGGGATATTTCAAGGAAAGATGAGAAGCAGTGGTCATATGCTTGGAAAGTATTGTACTTATAGAAAGAGGGACCTCCCCCACCTCAATAACTGTGGGGTTCAGAGGAGGAGCTCTGTGATCAAAGGGAGAGGTTAACATGAGTTGATGATGGGGACTTCCCCAGTGGTCCAGTGGCTGAGACTCTGTGCTTGCAATGCAGGGGGCCCAGGTTCCATCTCTGGTCAGGGAACTAGATCCTACATGCCACAGCTAAAGATCCCACATGCAGCAACAAAGACCCGACACAACCAAATAAATTAATCAAATAAATATTTCTAAAAAACCATGAGTGGTGATAGAAGAAGAATGGGATCTGACCCCCCACACAGCAGCGAGGCCAGCCAGGAGCAGAACTGTTGTGGTGGTGCAGTCGTTAAGATGGATCCTACTCTTGCGACCACCAGGCTTCTCTGTCCATGAAATTCTCCAGTCAAGAACACTGAAGTGGTTTGCCCTTTCCTTTTCCAGGGGATCTTCCCTAATCAGAGATCAAACCCATACACTGCAGGCAGATTCTTTACCAACTGAGCTAGCAGAACTGTTAGAGCAGAGCTTATGGTGGCCAAGGGAGAATGTTCATGAACCAGAAAGAGTGTGGGGCCTCAGAGAGCCTAGCAGGGGATGGGAATAATGTAGAAGCTCTCTGTCCCGTTATCCCAAAAGCTGAGAGCTCAGAGCCAGAGATGACTTTTATACCTTTGTTATTATAACTCCACTTTCATTGGTTCTTCCAGGGTCCATCGTGGCTGAGGAGGAAAGCACAGTTCTATACAGAAGGTAGAAGGTAGGACTGTCTCTCTCTCTGCTCATTTCTCTCTCTCTCTCTTTATCTCTCTCTCCATCTCTTTCTCTGCCTATGCATAACCGAAACATATTGTTTGGCTTTCTATAATTAAAACTAACAGTCTCACTTCTTTGGGGCTTTCCCATTAGTCAGAAGCATACAAGACAGAACAGACTTGGATGTAAATCCACCATCACTAGCTTTGTAACTTTGCCAAGTCAACTCACTCAGTTTGTCCATCTGTAAATTGGAAACAGTGATATTCATCTCCCAGAGTTTTTGTGAGAAGGAAATGAGATGGTGGATTATAAAGGGCTGGGCCTTTTGTCTGGATTAAGAAATGCCTAGAAAAGCAAATTTCCTTTGTTCCTATTTTTTATGCCAGCTGCGTGTTACTAGTCACAGCTTTTTCACACTCAGTAAGGAAGACACTTGAGAGGTAGAAGTTTAAGTCTCTGTTCTACCTAACCTATAAAAGTGTGACTTGTCTTGAACAGTTTTTTTTTACTAAAATATACCTAGTCATTAAAGTACTTTAAGAGTAACAAAGGGCTCTTGGGAGAAAAATTTCTGCCCCCCAGAAACAATCTGCCAGTTCTAAATAACTTGCTATTCTGCCATTCCCACAACTGTTTAGAAATCATTTACCACCATGTCATTCAAAACCAACAAAGATCCATAGCACCTGGCCCTTGCTACTCTAGGTTTTTCTTTATATAAACCCATCAAGAGCCCTGGCCTGCAGGATGACTCTGCCGGCAAGGCTCAGTGAAAATGTGAGGTTTCTTTGCTGGTTCGGACTGCTTACACCTGAGGGACTCTTGACTGATTCTCTGTTCAGTCATTTACTCATTCAACAGACATGCACCAAGCATGTGCTATGTGACAGGCTGCCCAAGCCGCTGGGCATATGGCGATGAGCCCACAGTCACATTTGTCCTCACAGAGGGGACCATGAAGGGCAAGAGCAGGGTGGTATGTGACAGGTAGGAACCTGCCGTAAATGAAGGAGTCATGGGTGCCTCTTTGAGGAGGTGATCGGGGCTGAGATCCAAGGATGCAGAAGCAGTGCTGAGTCTGGCAGCATGGTCCAGGCAGAGGAGGGCTGAGGAAGTAGCATGACTGAAGGCTGGGAGATAGGCAGAGCTTGCCAGGTTCCAGGATAGAAGGTTACTGTTGGTTTTGCTTATATTCCACTTGATCCAGGAAATTGGTCCTGCAACCTTAGGTGATGTCAAGAAGGGTTTCGAGATACTGGTTTTAAAGGCATGTTATTATAATGAAGTATGCTTTTATGCTTAGCTCATAATTTTACTCCTACATGAATTAAGAACCACACACTGCATTTATTTTTCTTTCCTCAAAGTTTCATATCACATTTGAAAGCATTGATTCTACATATTCATTTGGTTCCCAAGATACCATGAAGAGAAACATATGCTCTTCTTACTTACCATTTGATATACCAAATAAAAAATATTCATTCTGCCCACTTCTTAAGCTCCACCAATATTAGATATGTTTTAGAGCAGAAATATACTAGGTTACATGTGGTATCTATCTGTGGAGCACATTTCAAAGAGAGGCGCTCCAACAAGCACATTTGTATGAAGGCTGTAAAATAAAATCAAGCTTGAGCTTAAAATACCAATGCACCACAGTCTTAGTTGCTTGTTAACTTGAATTAACAGTGCTTGCACTTCTGCGGTCAGATTTCATCTACACATGCAGAATGAAGTGGAGAATTGAGTAAATTATCTTTATATGGGCCAGGCAATAAGGCAAAAAGTGGTTAATTAGCCTGGATTATCCAGATTCTGGTCTTATCAGAAGGTTGCATCAGAAAGCCAGAATAAAACACCTTTCTTTTTACAGTTATTAAATAATCACAATGTTGATTGGAAAGGTGCTGGGGAGATAGGCATCATGGTTAGTCTCCTAAAGAAGGAGCCAGGCTATGAAGAATTCTTTCAAGCTGGCCCAAATAAGAGAGACCTGGGCAGTAATTAAATTCCTGTATTTTTCTCAAGGGCTTCCCTGGTGGCTCAGTAGTAAAGAATCCACCTGCTAATGTAGGAGATGTGGGTTAGATCCCTGAGTCGGAAAGATCCCTCGGAGAAGGAAATGGTAACCCACTCCAGTATTCTTGCCTAAAAAATCCCGTGGACCTAGGAGCCTGGCGGGCTACAGTTCCTGGGGTCACGAAAGAGTCAGACATGACTTAGCGACTAAACAACCACAATGTTTTGCAAACCCAAATCGATCAGCTTGGACAAGACACCTTTCACAATAAAGATTCTGTTAAGAACAGGTTTCAGGGTTTTTAGAAACTAACCCTTTATTTTGTATTGTCAATTATACCATGCTCTGGAGCAGAAATGGGCACAGACACCAATGTTTCCCAAGGGAAATGATTCATGTCCCAGAATCATAACCCTCAGTTCCAGCATGCTTTCTGAGAGCCTTCACAAAGGGTCTACTGGCTTATCATGGACTGGGCTCTCTCATTCTTATCTCATTGCCACAAGATTCCAGTTATAGAAGTAATAGAAGGAAAGAATTTAGTCCACATACTTGCCATCAAGTCAACCTATTTGCTATCAGGTCCATATGGAAGCTGTCTTACATTTAAAAACTTGTTTGGTGTTGGTGGCAAAGCTTAGGCTCAAAGAATCAAAGTCAATGTTAGTTCTGCCTCTTCTTGACCAGGTGTTCTTGGGAAAACTACTCAACTCCTCTGAGCTGCAGCTTCCTAGAGGTTAAATGGAATCCTTAGACTTTATAAAAGTATTTAGGAAATTCAATAAGATAATGTTTATTTCCTGTCTGGCACTTAGGCACTCAGCTTGATTTCTTTCCCCCCCTTTCTAAAAAGATACTTAGAGTAATTCCAGGATAGGAACTCAATAAACATGTCTTAAATAAGTAAAATAGATAGATGAAAGATAGACCGATAGATGATAGGTGGACAGATAGAAGATATGTGATAGACAGTTGATAGGTATAGTTAGATAATTAATAAGTATATAGAGCACCATGAGAAGAGGTAGATTATAAGACAGTCCAGTGGCTTAAATCAAAAAGGGTAAGTCATCCGGAAGTGCATTCTCCAGGAAGAAATAAAGCAGATAACCTTCAGAGCATCTCTTATCTCTAGGTTTGTCTGTGCTTTGGCC